GTATCTTATATTTTTTAAAAAAATATTATGACTTCAATGCTACAAAAGATTTCACGAATGGTGAGAACTCATAAAGGAATTTCATATTAAATTGAAGAAAATCATTTTGTATATTATTTTTTATTTTTATTTTATTTTATTTATTTATTGTTGTTTTTTTTATTTATATATTTATTTTTTTTAATAATTTCACCTGAAGTGAGGTAATAAAGCCATTAAGACACAAGGGGTTACTGAGTATGGAAGAATCTGGGAAAACAAAAACATTATTAAGAAGGGAGGAAAATAAAAGCACATTAATTAAGGAGACAGAGTCTTAATGGAAATATTATTTTTATGGTTACTTTTTCTACTAGAATTAAATATTTTCATAAGATTTTCATTTCAATTAGATTAATTTCCTGTGTGACATTTTAATTTTAAATTATAATGTTATAGAATATTCAAAGTTATTCACTTTTGGATTAAATATCCAGATTTTCATTTCAGTTTTCTTGTTTGAAATTGTTATAAGCCGTAGTGACATTAGTAAGTTTCAACGTCAATGGCAAACATTTGATTTAACTTTGTCAACACAATTTGAAACTGTCCATTAAGAGAGATTCTTTCAAGGCTTGAAATTCAGTCTGCATTAAACAAAGAAAATGCATTTATCTATAATTTATTTATGTTGGTATTTATTCATTTGCATATGGATTGATTTGTTCCTTGATGTTCCTCTAAAATCTGATAGAATTAATTTGGATAAGTCTAGAGCCACAGATTAAAAAAAAAAGCAAAAGATATTTTATCAAAAACAAAATATTAATCATTCTTATAAAATATTTTTTTTTAAATGAAATTGGCAGAATTTTTCTTTTTTGTAACTAAATTAAATGGAAAAAATTATTTTGTGAATTTAAATTTTTATCTTCCGTTTTTTGTCTTTTACTTCTTCTTTGTAGATTTATTTTTTTGTTTTCAGTAAAAATGCGAATAAAAGCATGAAATACAGAGACTGAAAAATACAGTCTTGTATAATTTTGTTTTGAATTTTTCTGTCCAAATCTTTCAATAAACCACTTCTGTTCTTTTACTGAAACTAATATCTGCATGACTGTAACTCTAACACCTTTGCATGATTCTAACTCATGAAATTAAAACTGTTTTTGCCTTTTACAATACTTATTATTCAATAAACTCTAAAGGCATGTTTAACACTTAATTTTCTGGGTTTTAATTCACAATAATATAAATAGAAAAATTAATTGCTTATATTTAAATGGTTTATTGAATATTTTTACAAATTGTAAAGTTAAAAATGAAATCTTTTACTATCACTTTGTCTATGGACAAGAGAAATGCAATATGTATATATAATATATATATGTGTGTGTCATACACAGACAGTTTCACAGTCCATCAGTGCGGTTATTGGAATCTATTCTCATCTTGGCTGGCCTCCAATGTAAGACATAACCAATTTGTCAGTGATGTGGATGAATCATACAGCCATGCCTGTTGACAATGCTAGCTAAGATCATTTTAGTTATGTATATAGTTTCATTTTTCATTTTTGCTAAAATGTTCACACAATACAAAGCCCAAGAAACACTCAAGGTAGAAGGTTACTGATTGAGACTGTATGCTTTTAAGAGAAAGAAGTACAAATTGAGAGTATATGTAGGATAGATAATGGTTGATGGTAGGCTTGAAGAGGTTAAGATTGTAGTGATTAAGGAAGCATTCTTTTGGGAGTTTGTTCCACAAAGTAGCAGTTCTTGGGAAGATGTTGGCCGAGTGGAACTTGCTTCTTACCAATGGAATGTGAATGATTCAACCCTGTGCATATGGTATGGTGGCTCTTAGCTGTAAAAGGTTTGAACTGATGAAACAAAGGAATGTTGCTCATCTGAACATTTTCCATGGAAATTGCAATAGTGACAGGCTTGCAACATTTCATCTGTGGGGAAAAGTTTTACATGGTTGAAAATAATTCATCCCCTACAAGGCTGTATAAACACCTTTTTTGAACTCTCTCAAATCTAGAAAGTGAGGCTTGGGTAGCTTCAACCCAGATATGGAAGCAATATTCCATTTTTGGTCTGATCTTTTTTCAAAACAAGGCATATCAAGAAGAGTCCACTACTTTCCAGAATAGCACAAGGAAGTGGCCATTTTTTCAGCATCTTTAGCAATGGTTCATACATACAAGTTCCACTTGAGATCTACACTGAGATAGATATTAACTACAGACCTTAGTAAGAATCTGAGACTCACTAAGCTATGGTTTCTTTTTCAATGGACCTCACTAAAAATTCAACTTGCAAAATATCATTTGTTAAAATGATGACTAAGATCAAAGTAGAATTAAAAGAAGTTTTACCTCTTTACTAAAAGAGAAAAAACATTAAAAACTTCATCATATTTGTTGGTGGCTGGAAAACAATCCTGTGTACATTCAGTTGATGCTTGACGACTTTGTATATTTGACAGTCAATTTTTGTTTGTCTCTTGGAGCATAATGGATGCTTGTAGGAGACTATACTGCTTTCTTTACTGCTTAAAATCACTGGTTTATATAAGAGGTCTAACATCACCTTTGTCCTGGCAAATGTTTTCTTAATCTAAGTGTTAGTTTAGCATTGCTATAGATTCATTCCATTTGTTGACAATATCTAACCTGGTTTCTAAAATCCATTGTTTTTCATTACCTGGCAAGATCCGTGTAATAATTTTGTAAGTTTTGTATCAAGGGGAGTAACTCGTGGTTACTTTAGTTAATACGCATCTACTACATTACTACAATCCTTAATTTGCTTTTAAGAAAGCATAAAGAGATACAATTAAAAATGAATGTATTCAGATAGATGATAATGACACAAATTTCTTTCAAATTTCATGAAGTTTTCTTTTCTTTTTTTTCCAACCGCATTTCACCCTGATAAGTAGTTACATTGTCCCTTTTTTTAAAATTTTATTTAAGCACACAGTCAGTCAACCAAATAACTAAGTTAATATAAAATCAAGACAAAAAATGGTGAATAGGATTAAAAAATTTAGGGTTTCTTGTCTCTTGAGATAAGTTTGGTGTCTGCTGGTTTACCTTGGCTGTCCTCATCTCCAGCATTAGGGTAGAAAGAAGAGTAGGTGTTTTCTGATTTACTAGTTTACATACTTTTAAGTCACAAATTCAAACCCAGACAATTCCAGGTATAAATTCATTTCATTGTAATTAATGCTTTTTATTTCTTTAAAAACCAAAAGAAAAAAAAACTGATACTGGTATGCTAGTAAAGTCCTTAACTAGCTTAGTTTTCTCAGCTTTTCATATCAACTTCTTAAGTTAATTAACATTCCAACTGACTTAATGTATAAGTCTAAAACCACACCAATAACTCCGTTATATTATCTGTTAGTCCAGGTAACTTGTACTTTAAAGCATTTCTATGTATATATTAGAAAAAAAAAAATGGAAATGCTACATTTATGATGCATGTGTTTATTTTCTAAATATTTTTATAATTGAATCTAACGTTTTTTAATTAATTCACAACTGTATTTTTTATTAATTTTCTATTAACATTTTTAATCTAATCTTCAGGATGTTTTTGTTTGTTTTTCTTAAAAGTTGAAAACAAACAGTTTTAGAAAATGGATCACTTTAAAAGTGAATTAATTCTAAACAATTAGATTTTATCATTATTGTACAAAATCAAAAATTGATAAAATAGTGGCAAAAGATTAAGATTTGCTACTTGAAGGTTTATTAATTTTGGCAATTATCTCTAAATTTATAAAAGTATTTAAAGTATTTAATTTTTATGTTTCAAGTCCATATTTTATAGATTCAAACCCCTTTTTATATTTTCAAATACAAGTCTTTATTTTAGACACTTTTAATGAATTTAGTGTTTACAAGTAGGTTTCTGGGAAAGAAATAAAAAAAATCTTAAACACTTCAGTTTATATAGATTATTTCTCTATTTAATATCATTAATATAAATAATTATGAATTTAAAATATAACCACAAATAACCATTGCTAACATTTAAATATTGGTAATGATTCTTGATAAATAAAATTTAGCATTTTTTCAAATCATGAAAATGGCAGAATATTTTTTTTTTCAATCAGTTTTACTTTAAAAGGGACTTAATGCTGATCAAATTTAAATTTTTTATTTATTCATCCCTTGACTTTGGACAAATTGTTGCAGTTTTGAAAGGGAAACAACTCTTGCTGATTTTAACTTCTGAAATGTTAAATCAACAATGAAATATTTTTGATTCATGCATAAAATCAAATCAAATTTATTTTGCTGCTTGCATTTAAAACCTTAGAAAAAGTGGATTACGAAAAGTCTGGAATTGCTGATCGAAATATTTCATCTTCTTTATATTTTCTTGTTGCTTTATTTGTTTTCTAAATACATAAAATCTGTCACACTTCCCAACAATGTTAGGGAGAGAACTTGGCTAATTATACCCATAAATTAAAAAAATCTCTCATCCATTTTAGTGTTCATTGCTTCTCTCAGGAATGCTTTGCTGCTGCTGCTGTTAGTTTATGATTTTTAAAGTCAGTGCATAAAGGATCCCAGTTCCAATCAGTCATTTAGACAGTCTAATGTTGCTATTAAAGATTCTAGTTAGCTTCTGCATGTTTACTATCAATATATTTGTATGTGGATTTATCAACAACTTATTTTTTTTAAAAGTCTAACCAATAAATTTAGCCTGGCTCTAATGACAGTTACTTACCCACTTTAGAAGACAACAATGGCATGTTAACCTGTTAATAAATCTATATTTAATAATGTATATCAGTTGCGCAATCATTTACCATTTAACTTTCTTTCTTATCCAGGTTTGTAGTGGCTTCTGTATACCCTTAGTCCTCTAGTTTCTGTTTTGTATGTCTTATATAATCTAAAGTCAAACTATGCGTTACTGTCTTCCCTCTGTTAGCAGGGGTGATAGACTACTTCAGAGATTGCCAACCAGTTATTCAGTTGAACCATGTCTGCTCTTGATCCGGCTCTCATCCAGGCTATCCAAAAGGTTGTGTCTGAAGAGGTTAACAATGCCATTTCTCCACTCAAGCAAGAGCTTAATCAGCTGAGAAGCCAGGTAATCTTGTTTGTAACCTTTAAATCTTCAAGTCATACATTTACCACTTTATAATAAATCTTGAGATTTTTTTCTCCTGGTGTCCCTGTTTCCTGCATTGCCTTGCTATTCTTGTAAGGATTTGAACCTATAAATAAATCCACTTTTATCAGAATACTATGCAGCAAATTAATGAAATCACTTTTTGTTGAAATCTCATTTTCTTCAGGTTTGATGTAAAAAAAAAAAAAAAAAAAAAAAAAAAAAAAAAAAAGGCAACAGTACTAGCAGTGAAAATAATCAGGCTTTTTTTTCTTCAGATTTTTACTACTGAAGAATTTGGTAAGTTGATGGTAATAAGTAACATCTTCTTGCTATTTTATTCAAATAATTGGATTTTGTGAAGTCATAGAAAAATAGAATATGAAAAATATTAGCTTAAAATGATGCAAAGTTAAACTGTTACCATACACATAATTTAGGTTATACAAGTTTTTTAAGAATTTAAATTAGCATATGTGGCTGATTGAACCTTTATATGTAATTTTTAAAAATATAGTTTTTATGTCAATATCAATTTGACTTTATTTCTTGTAGAAAATTAGCAAAAATATTCTGCCATTTTAAAAATTTTTTCCCACAGAAAATGTTTAGATTGTTAGTATTGAAAGAATGTGAGTGTTGCCAGCAATAAAATGTATAGCTTATCTTAATATTCTAATGTCTGCAAACTGATATAAAATTCTCAGGCACAACTCACTTAACAAATGTTTCTATTTTAAAAACTTATAATTTTTCTAAGCTGCTAATGCACAATAGTGATTTTCCAAGCGTAGCTTAGATGTGGCACAAGGCCGAAAGCATGGGACACCCAGTGAGGATCAAACTCACTACTCAGGCGTAATTGTTCTAGCGAGACAAGCTTGCTAACCATTACTCCACCTCGAGGTGCCCTGCTAATGCACAATAGTCAAGTGTAATTTTTTACAAATGGTAAAATGCCTTAACCAAATTGGTTTGGCTAGAAATGTTTTAGAGCTAAAGACATATTTTGCAAGGTCCCACCTTCTTAAATTGCAAGTTTTTTTATAAACAAAAATGAGTTTGCTGAAATAACATGAAGACAAGAATCCTTACTCAAAATTCTCATTAAAAAAACATTAACAGACTTATTGTGATTATCAAGAATATTCCTTTTGTTCAGTTATTTGTTTTCAATATGTAGCTATTTCTAGGCAAACCGATTGATATAATGAATATAAATTGAATATATGTTATTCTTAATATTTCAATAATTGCTCAATAGTAGAGTAGAACCTTCATAAGGAAAATAAAAAAAAAAACTATTTTTGGTACTAAACTCATAAAGCTATGTCTTTTCCTTCCATTTTCAAAATAAAAAATAACACAAAATAAATACAAATAATTAAATTTTAAAATCAAAATTTTTTATTTTTTCTCTATTGTGACACAATCAATATAAATAAATGATAAAAATATGAGAACAATTCCAAGATGTTTTCATAATGTTGATATTTCAATTGAGATTTTATTATTTTTCCTAAAGCTGCTTTTACCATTACAAAAAAATTGCTGTTACAAACTTTCTAGAAATCTTTGAAGTGCTTAAGACATCAAATTGAAATCCCAATTATTTTGTGGTTAAGACACAGAAATAAAGTTGTATTATTTCCTGCTTTCTATGTAATTATATATCAACAATTAAATCTTCTACTTTTGGAAATCATTTGAATCCTGAAGTAATTTCTTAAATTTGTTATTCAATTTTCAATAGCTTTATATATTTATTTCAGTGCTTCTTTTTGGTTTAGGATAAAATTGTTCAAGTATTTCCGAAAATTAGAATTTGATTTTTGTTAAAACTTTTCTTACATCTTTTTAAATCCCAATTTTGCCTCGACATCAAATTGGCAACTTTGATTGAACTGTGATGTTCAAATTTACAATAAGTGAGAAATTAATTTTGCTGCAATGTTACAAGTTTAATTTTATTCTTAATGTGCAAAAAAGAAACAAATATCTAAAAATATATTGGAGAAATGATAAATAAATTTTAAATTATTAGCATTATTAGATAGTGAATTTAAGTTCATTTTCTGTGGGGTATTTAGATTTTTTTATTACATAAATTAAATTGAAAAAAGATCCAAAAAATTATTACCAGCCCCAAATGTAAAACTTCCACTTATATATTTTAAAAATTTTATTTCAAGTCTGAAACATTTTTGCCTAATCTGAAACCCCTTTATCTTTTGCCAAAAGGTGTCTGGTTCCATTGGTAGATCCTCTGCTCATAGTATAAATCTGGTAGGTATTTTCCTATCTATTGATCTTATTGGATCTACCTTCCTCCATTTTGCATGACTTCATCAGTTCTTGAGTAAAGACAGTGACAACTTGATTTAGTTTCTCAGAAAAATTATTTTAATTTCATTAAATTTCTAAATACTTTACATTTGTAGAAAATTATGTAATCAGTTAAGATACTGAAAAATTTGCAACAGGAAAATATATAAGATTTTATTTTATTTTTTAAGAATTCAATGACTAAAAGAAAACAATTCAAGAAGGCAGAAAAACAAAGGGGCAACCAGATTTCAGAAAAAAATGAAAACACTTTTACTTGCCTCATAAGCGTCTTTGGGACATATAGTAATTTTAGAAAAGTCTCTTTTAAATTCAATATTCATGCCTGGGAAATTTTCTTTGAATTCTTTTTGTTTTTTGTTGTCCAACTGCAGGAAAAATTTCACTTGTGAACTGCAAGGCTCTCTGCAGCTGCCTGGTAACTGGTGCCTTCTCAACTGTCTCTTCCTTGATATGAGTTTCCATTTGTCCTCTTGCTGTCAAAATGTCTTTACTGACCTGATTTCTATTTATTCTGAAAAATAGGCTCACACAAGACCCCCATTTGGGTTCTTATTAGGGCTTGAGACCATGTCTCATTGATCAGTATATACAAATAAATAATATTTCATAAACTTGAAATGGATTCTTAACAATTTTAGTAGCTTTAAACCACTGAGCCAAGAAAGATATCCAAGTGTAACAATTTTTCCACAAACCGTGTGGCCTTCATAAAAATACACTCTTCTCTCAAAAGAACATGTACTAAAAAAGAACTTAGATCATTAAACATTTATTCAAGACTAACATTTTTAAAATAGTAAAAGTAAGTTTTATAAATTATTTATCCTAGTTTTAATTAAAAATTCTCTATTGAGTACTAACTGAAAACTTGTTTATTTACAAAAACCTAATTTAAAACATATGTTTAATTTATCTCTCTCTCATACACCAGTGTGTGTATGTATATATATATATATATATATATATATATATATATATATATATAAAAAAACTATGATAATCAATATTTAAGAGATTGACTTTTTTTTGTGTGTGTATACCAGTTCCTGCAGGTTCCTGGGTTTAACATTTTTTAATTCATTTCATGTTTTTAAATAATAAAATAAATCTTTCTCTTCAGTCAAAATGCAAAATGTATTTCTAAGCTCTTATTTATGCAATCATGTTTCAACCTCTTACAATGCCTTGGATAGTTTTCCTCAATTTTTAATGAAGAAAAAAATTCAATCCTAAGCATTTTACTTGCAAAAAGTTTTTTATTGCAAAATCATGTAAACTCATTTTATATGAAACTTTTGCAAAAACATTTTCCTAATATTTATTACATCAATTTAAAATTAATCTTTTCAATTGTTGAAAATAAAAACTGAATTCTTTTAGAAAATGTTTTTTCATTTTCAATATTTATGTCTATAAAGCTTACTGCTTTTTTTATATATTGTTTTCATGAAATTGAACACTTTTATTTCCTCTATAATTCTAAAGCCTTTATTGTTACAACTTTGTTCTACCTGTGTCCTTGCCACCATTCCTTTCTCCAAAATCCTAATTTCTTACTAAATTTAGCTTAATCTGACACAATGTCATCACATTACAGTGGATGTCTAATCTTTATTTCTTTTTCTTTTAGAGCCAAATAACATTTTTTTAAATATCATTTTGTTATTCAAAACCCTCAACAGTTCTGATTTCAATTTTAATGTAAGAAAAGTGGCATATTTTTTGTTGTTATTTTTGTATTGTTCAATTTTGTTTTCTTCATCTTGAATTTTGTCAGTGGGATTTTGATATTTGCCATTGTAGAAAATGTTTTTGTCAGTTTTATTTTGTTTAATAAAAATTGATGCAGCTTAAAGTTGCTAGTGTCTTTTTCTATTTGAAGGAATCTTAAAACTTAAACAAACCCACTTTATTCTCAGCCTTTAACCTATTTATTCTATGTAGTTTGACTAATTGTGAGTTTTATGCTGAACATAAACAGAATGTTTATATTCAACATTATTGATCATTGTGTGCATAACATTGATTTTACAAGTACATAAACATAATAGCGCCTGTGAAGGTAAGGCAATTTGATAACAGCTTCCCAGATAAGAATATTTTCAATATTGAAACTCTAATTTAAAAAAAAAACAATTTTGACTTTGAAATAAAAACAATTTAAGAAATAATCTTTGACCTTGTAAGATACAAGGTCAATTTTCCAGATTTATTTTTAAGGAATGGTATCATTGATGCCAGAAAATTGGAACTCAATTTTTTTAAATTTTTTTTTCTTAGTTGCTGTTTTTGTTTGTTGGTTTGTCTTTCTGAGTTTTTAGTATTTTTATTTTCAGCTTTAATTTTACTTGAATGAACATTTTCAAGGAATTTAATCTTTTAATATTTCAAAAATTTTGAATATTATTTCATGTAAGTTTTCAGGTTTTGAGCATACATATTATGTAATTCCTGATCTGACAATACAAAGATCTTTAATTTTGCCAGGATGTTCAGCCTCTGCAAGTTGGGACATAAGGTACTATTTACCCACTTCCTAATGGGGCTAGGATGTGACACAAAGTTGTTTTTAATGTGGAGTGCCCATATGCATACACATGGGCATCTCTCTGTTAAAAAATCTCTTCTCTCTCTCATATACCAATGCTAAAAGAACCCTTGCATAACATGGTTCATTTAAATACTGATATGCAAAATGAATCCTTCAAGATTTGAAAAATCATTTTCTTTTTTATAATTTTAAACTATTTTAGACGCAGATTTTTAACCACTGCCTAAGTTTAGTAAATTGATTTGTGATATGTTAAGGTCATGTTTTGTTGAAATGATATTGTGTAATATTTCATCATTTGTAAACTGTTTCTGTTTTGTTTTAGTGTCATTTCAAACCTTTTAAATCTATATTTTCATCAATATATATTTTAAAATGTTTTCTTTTCCAGTCATCCGGAATGTCTCCTAAAATTGGTATCAATGGGTAAGATGATTTTTGTTATAATTCATTCCTAGCAGTTATATTATGTCTTAGGTTACTCACCATGACATCATTAGAAATTTCCCTCTTCTGACTCTAACTGACTTCCCCTGACTCATTTTGAGTTCTTTATTTAAGGTCTTTCTTAGTTCATTTGTTACCAGTGGTGTCTTATTTACTCCACAACAATTCTATGCATTAATTTTTTTTTATGCATTCTAATGCATATGCATATAAATATTGTGTGACTTTTGGTTCCAATAAAGTAAAACAGGGGTTTTACTTAGAAAAGGAATAAAAAATAATCTTATTACTTTAGCAATTCTATTGCATAATAGGATTCAAAGTGATTCCTTCTGATATAAAGGATGGAATCTTTCCCTGATTTCAAACCTGTCGACATCATTTTCATCATGATGACTGCAGTGCCACCTGCACAGAACAGGAATTTGTAGTGTTACAAACATTCATTCTAGCACAGTTTTTAAAATATAACTTTCCATAATCAGGGAAGGTTTATAGGTTTTTTCATACTTATCCTTTTTGAGGTTACTCACAACTTTATTGACTAACATGTTTAAATCTTAAATCAATAATTAAGATTTTGTGCATCTTTCTAGTCAGCACTAATTAAATTTCAAAGTTTTTCTTCTCATGAACATTTAATTAAAAAGGATGCCAATATCAATTATACATGTTTATAGGTAATTAAACTCTAGTTTTTTTTTGTTTTTGTTTTTTTCTTCAGCTTTGGCCGCATTGGAAGGCTGGTCCTCAGGAGTGCCCTGTTGAAGGGTGCCACTGTTGTAGCCATTAATGATCCATTTGTCGATTTGAACTATATGGTACGTCTTCTTGAATATTTTTATATCTTAACATCACTGGCAAATTCATGAAATGCTAATGCAAAATAGTAAATCACCTTTTGAAAAGATGTAATTATAGATTTATACTCTTTTTTTTTTTTTTTTAATGAGCATTAATGTTTAAAAGTAAAAACTCTGCCAAGTTGAACAATTAAAAAATTGTTCCTAAAATGAACACATAATTATGGCCATTGATTTAATTCATGTATAACAAAAAGTAAACAAATAAAAATGTAAAGAAATGAAATAAAATCAGCATTTGTTAAACATGGAACTACAATTCTATTTGATAGCTTTATATTTATAGCATAAGAAAATCAAATATAATAATTTGTTAAATTCTTCATTGAAAATAATTTAAGATAATATTTCTATCAAATTTTTAATTCTTTCTCAGCAAGAAAAAAGTAACTTGAATAGAGAATTTTAATGAGAAAAATAATGGTTCCTGTTTTTTTTTTTATTTTTTGTTCTAAATGATTGCTTCACAACACCATAGATAAAATCTTGCATTATGATTTAACAGGATCTTCATTTGAATGGATTTTTATATTTTATCTTTTAAACACAAAATAAAAATCCCTAGAATTCCCCTCTTGTTATTTATATAACTAACTTCTCTTTATTGAAATAATATAAAATGTTACTGATTATTGTTATTTTTTTTAATAGGTTTATATGTTTAAATATGACAGTACACATGGAATGTTCAAGGGTGATGTTAGTCATGAAGGTGGTAAATTGATTATCAATGGCAGTCCAATTGCTGTCTTCAATGAGTAAGTAATTACTTTAACTTTGATTGGAAATTCCTCTAAGATCCACTTTTGCTTCTTGAATACACCCTTGCTTTATCAGTAATTTATTTCTGTTTTCACAACTGTAAACTTGGAAAATTCCATTATGTCTAATTGTTTTCATTCAGTAATTAAAAAGCAAGCATATTTTTTAAATATTGAAATAAAACAAATTTAAATTTGTCATCCAAGATGCTGAATTAAATATGAGTGTATGTGTGTGTGTGTGTTTTTTAAGAAAAATTTGTAGTCAGACATTTAAAGATGAACATTTAAATTCTAAACTTCTCTGAAATAATTGTCTTTATCTTATTTGGTATGCAATGTTATCACAAAAAACTGAGATGTATGTACTAATTATAATTTATGTTAATGAATATAATGATTCTGGAGTTGTCTAAACTTGGTTCATTTGCCATCATAATCACTTTAATCAAACTTATTTAAATAATTATCATTTTAATAAAACTGTTTTTCCTAATATTTTCAGATTTATTCAAGTTGATTTTTTTAATAAATTAATGAAATCAAAAGATTTTCTACATAATTAAACACATTTGTAGATATGGTTAAACACAGAGGTGTATTTGAGTTGTAAATATTTATTCCTCTTTAGGAAGGACCCTAATAACATTCCCTGGGGAAGTGTTGGTGCTGATTATGTTCTGGAGTCAACTGGAGTCTTCACCACCATTGAAAAGGCCTCTGTAAGTTTTGTTCACTATTTCGCATTTCTAACATTCAACATGAAATTTTGTATCTTATGAATGTGTAAACAGAATTTCATTGAAATAACAAACTTTATCGTTTGCCTTGAAAAGGAATTTTTCCCTGAGAGGGAGAAGAGAGCATGTAATCTCTTATCCTAATTATGAACAAAGGTGCAAACAAAAACAAACAAGACATAAAACTACTATGTGATGTTTAAAAGGAACAAATATTTATTACATAGACATTAAAACAGTATAACAAAATACAATTTTTACAAGATAGGCTTGCACAAAAATTTCCTTTTGTGCACCTTTTTAACAATGCAAGATAATAGATCAAAATAAGAATTATAGGCTCTCAAAAAGATACAATATAAACTTCAAATAATGGAAAAAAACTTGAAGGTGATGCAAAAAACTTTAAATAAGGTTCAAAATACTTTTAAAATGGTGCATGCACTTATTTGAAAGATGAAAAAACAGAAGCACTTTGGCAAATTCACTTGCATCACTAGGACTTTTAACTTTTTTCATTTTTTAGAACACATTTCTATTCACTGGTTTCATTTGATTCACTTTTTCTGTTTGCTTTTTTTGTGAGAAACAACCCAGTTCATTCACAGATGACAACCCAAAAAAATCTTTTCCTTTTGGAACCTTATTTTGATACTGTCAGTGATAAATGTTCATGCCTCCTCATCTTCTGACTTCAAAATATTTTAACATCTGGTCAAAAATTATTACACAGTCAAAATTTTCATTACCTTCTAGTTGAAATTTTCTTTGCCTTCTGAAATTATCCACTGACCTGTCCTCTTATTTATCTTAGAAAGAGAGACAGTCTGCCTTGACTGAATTATTTTTTGATGGTTCTTTTTGTGCCAATTCTATATTTAGAAACTTTAACAGATCAAATCTATTTTTTTCTTTTTTAACGGTTTGGCTGTTTTTTAAATGCACATCTTTTAAAAAGTGTAAAAGACAAACATAGACGATTGTAATATTTATTTTTAATTATCTATACTTTTTTTTACTATTATTTTTAATTTTATATTGCTTTCTAATAAAACAATTTTCATCAGAAAGTGTTTTTCTTATCTACAGGGTGTCCCAAAAGATGCACTACCATTGAAAACTGAAAATTTTATATTTATTTACAAAATGAAATAATGTTTCTGTATGTGACAATATATGGAAATTTTATTGGTTGATTTTGGAAGATGATGTCATGCAAAATTTCCTCTGCCTGCTATTTCACACATGTACATTTTCTCCCAATAGCAGTATAACTTTTGAGACACCCTGTATAAATATCTTTGATATGTTCCCTTTATTCACACACTGACCATTTGACTTATTCTATGGAATGAATAAAGATGAGAGTTTTAATATTATTACTATTTAAACATTAACTTTATAACCCATAAAAATGCTGGGAAATATATTGCTGAAGTAATAGGATTGGTGAATGCACAATTTAAAATTGCTATTCACAAATTTGTCAGATTGTTAATGCATTGCAGTAAATGAAGACAGAACTGGGATAGGAAGATTTTTTTTTCCATGTGCAGCAGCTTCTCTAGATGTTCATCTTCAAGTTATCATTTGTTTCCCTCCAGAAAAAATATACTTTTCTGATCAACAGTTACAAATATTGGAATATTCATTGATGCAATACAAAGTTTACTTGAATATTCACATTTTCATGTAACTTATGTGTGTTTCTTTATTAATTTTACTGTAGAAAACAATTGATGATTGAATAATGATGCTCTAATTTTATAATTTAGATTTTACTAAATTTAACACATTTATTGTACATGCAAAGAAGTGAAAATATCATTTAGGATATTTGTTTACTAGCAGTGTTTCTGTCCTGCTGTGTGCAGTATTGAACCTTTCTTCTTTTTTGTTTAAATCAGTTTAATTCATCTTAAAGAAATCGGAAAATCATAAGTATTTGTTGAATCATTTTTATCAGCCATAAGTTGTTATGAATGAAACATAATAAAGAATGCACAAATGTAATTCATAAATAGTGAAGAGATTTTTGTAAATCTTTTAATGTTACAGAAGAAAATCTTTGTTCCTATGACAGCAGAATGTCTTGTTTATAAGATGCTTAAATATTCTAATAAATCCATATGTAAGATTTCATGAAAAAGCAACTTTCTAATATTTTAACTGTAAGCAATAGCAAAACGGATAAAACAAAAATCAATTCTATTCTTGAATTATTGACAGATGTTTTCTTAACATAATGATATTACAGAATAAGAAAACTTAACAAATCTGCTTCAAGAATTATTGGTTGTTTAAGTCTCAAAATTTCTATGATATTTTTTTCTTGTTAGGCTCACTTGAAGGGTGGGGCCAAGAAGGTTGTGATCTCTGCCCCATCTGCTGATGCTCCAATGTTTGTTGTGGGTGTAAACCATCAGAAGTATACAAAAGACCTCAATGTTGTCAGGCAAGTCATTTAGCCCTGAGAAACAATAACAAAAACTGTTATACTTAATTTTTAAGGTTATTCCTTGCATAATGATTGGATTTCCTTATTTCAATTTTTATGATATATTTTATCTATGCATGCACATAATATACAATTTTTCTGCAATTTTATTTGCATGTACATGGGTGTTGATAACAAATTTTCTTAATAGGCAGATTTAACAAAGTTATTTGAACAAATTGTCAAATTTTGTCCAAATATTGTATACATGCTTTCAAAATTAAGATAATTCCATTCTATACAATAATATTCTAAACTAGTTGAATTTGATTTAAAAAAACAAAAAAAAAATTAACAAATAACTTCAAATAAATAACAATAAGAAAGTGTCTTAATGTATGTTAGATTCCCTCCTGAAAGATTTTTCAAAATTGTATTTGATAAAATGGTTCATGACTTTAAAAATATTTTCCAAAGTAATTTTATTTTGATTTGAGAACTGAAACTTTTTACCTTAATACAATTGGATATTAGAATTCAAAAAGAATTTTTATAAAATTCTTCAAAGAAAAAAATCTTTCATATTCATTTCTTTTTTACAATTGTTATTAGCAATGCTTCTTGCACCACCAACTGCCTTGCTCCAGTGGCCAAAGTTATCCATGAAAAGTTTGGTATTTTGGAAGGACTTATGACCACTGTCCATGCTTACACTGCAACACAAAAGTGTGTTGATGGCATCAGTGCTAAGGTAAGTTTCAAAACAAGCCAAGATGAACAATTTTATTTCTAGAGATTTTGTTTTCCAATCAACTTCACACTATTTTTTTACAAAAGCTCCAAATATGTTTTCATTTTTTCTATTTTGTCTTTGTCATTAATACCTAAAAGTCATATGACTTTTAATGTTTTATTCAATTACTTAAACAGATATGATTAATATGGATAATATTTGTATTCTGAATTCTTTTTTTCATTTGGTATTTTTACAAGTGAAAATTTGTAAAGTTAATACATTACTTGTGTATATAATAAACAAATTATTGTGAGAACAGCAGCAATGCCTTCAAGAAAATCTTCATTATAACTCTTTGGTCAGGCTTGGTTTCAAGGATGAAGCATTCCTACCCCTTATTAAGGGCACCTCATCAATACCTCATGATATCACCAAACTTTGTTGGTTTTTGGTCAAAGTGTCAGAATAACAGTCATGCATCTGCAGCTTTTGCCAAATCTTTCTTTCTGTTGATAACAATTTGAGTTTAGTTAGATATAAGATTGCATCTGATTGAAGAAATATATTGATTACTCAAACATGTTTTATACAATCCAGGGATCTTTTGGGATTTTTCAAGCTTATGCTGATGTGCTTAGTAAATATTTTCCTTAAAAGAAACCATATATACCTTGGATAATGTTGTTTCAAGTTGTTCTCAATTATACGTTATTTGTCAAAAAAAAAATATTGGAAAAATAAAAATCAAATTTAAGTCATTTTATTCGACTTTACATCTGTCTGCCACAAATTGAAGTTGTAATATGACTAGAAAAGTATTAAAAGCAAATAAAATCATTTTACTGTACAATAAATAAAAATAAAAGGATATAAAATCATTTTACTGTACAATAAATAAAAATAAAAGGATATAAAATCATTAAAATACATAGATTTACAGTAAATGTTAATATAATCATAAATCCTAGAGAACGAAATATGAAAACATCTGTGACTCTGTGTTGTCTTATTTAACGGTTTTAAGAGTAAAACATTGGCGTTTTCCATGGTAGTTCCAATAACTGCCATTTAGCATCATTATCAGTGCCACTTGTGATTCCTGTGAAATTGAAATCCAATTTAGTTTAGGCATACACATGGTATACATCTGCTTATTGCCTACTCTCTCATTCTCATTCATTTGTGACTTTATATTTTGCCCCAATGGCTCCTAAGAAAATTCTTAGTGCAAGTGTTAAGTGTCATGCTATAATGCTGGACGATAGACTTACTATGATAAAATGCCATGAAAAATGTGAAAAGGTTATATCCATTGCTTGATCTTTTGGAATGAGTTGGACAACTGTATCAATGATTGTTCACAACAAGGATAAGATTTTGGCACATATCAAATGGGATGAAGAATACTGTTATCAATAGGAGGAAAATCTTTGAAAAGATGGAACTTCTCTTTGGATTGATAGGTTGAGTCATCAGTGTATTGCTATTAGTCAAGAAATCATTCAAGCAAAAAGCATTGTCTTTGTTTGAGGACTTGATCAAAAAATACCCAGATGAGAAAGATGTAGAGTTTAAAGTGATTCAAGGCTGGTTTATGAGGTGTAAAGAATGAAGAACTTATCACTCTATTAAGAAGCAAGGTGAAAATGCATCAGCTGATGAATAAGCAGCAGCTGGTTTTCCTAAAGCATTGGCTAAGATCATCAAAGCAAATGGGTTTCTTCCTGAACAGTTTTTTAACTTTGACAAAATTGGATTGTATTGGAAAAAATTGCCAGACCATACTTTCATTGCTAATACTAAGTGTAAGGCTATATCGCTGATAAATTATTTTATTCAGAATACTGTACGTACATATAAATACTGTAATATACAATGGGGAGTGCTTATTTGCAGTTTGTAAAAAATGCCAGATTAATCAGAATATTTGTAAAGTAAAAACATTCATGTTTTTTGTTAAATTTCATCCCGTTTTATGGCATCTCATACACCAATTTGAAAACTTCATTAAGAAATTTAATCAAAAGATTTTATGATCAAATTCAATAAAATGTAACTGAATTTATTTACTTATTTATAAAGATAAATAAAGTTAAAATAAAAATATTTTTCATTTAAGTTTTTAAAAATATTTTAAAATGAAAAAAATTGTCTTGTTTTCAGGACTGGCGTGGTGGTAGGACTGCTGGAACAAACATCATCCCATCATCTACTGGTGCTGCTAAGGCTGTTGGAAAAGTTATTCCTGAGCTGAATGGGTAAGTAATATAAATATATGCAATATATCTTTCTACTTAATCCGGAAGTGAATTTTGAGTTTTGTCATAAAATCAAGGCCAACAAGACTAGAAGGAAATGATTTAGACTCAAGTAAAAATGTTCATCATGCAGTAATCTGAAAAATATTGGATTATATGATAATTATATGCATGCAGTAATCTGAAAAATATTGGATTATATGATAATTATATGCATGCAGTAATCTGAAAAATATTGGATTATATGATAATTATTTAAACTTCAAAATATTCAAGGAATTTAGAATCAATGATGTCTGAACTCTGATATACTTATCAGTTTTTTTTTTTTCATTTTGAAAGCTAATAAAGTTAAAATATTTGAATCCACTGATATAGTTTTCAGCAAATGCAAAATAATTGAACTGAGGTGTAATTATATATGCATTTAAACTGCACTTGAAGTTATTTAGTACATGAATGAAAGCATCATGTTTCTTTTTTAATTTTTAGTAAACTGACTGGCATGGCATTCAGGGTTCCAACTCCTGATGTGTCTGTGGTGGATCTCACTTGCAGATTGCAAAAAGAAGTAAGTTTGGAACTTTTCAATGTATATCCTTGCTTTACATAGTTTTGGTTGGTTTTAGAAAAAACGGTTTGGCCTTTCATTCAAATATTGGGACACAGTAAGATTTTCCTTTTGAAATAGAATTGTCTCAAATTATTTGTGTCAAATAGATCTATACCTTCACTAATTACAAGAAATAAGAATGGATTAGATTCATTCAAGATACTCTGGTAAAACCAATGTGTTTTTACATTCTGTCTTCAAATTTGCTAACATCTTTCTAAATGACATCTTTTTACAAGTAACTTGAAATGTTATGTCATGATATTTTCTCAATAAGGTAAAGAATTTTTATATTTAAATATCTTTTTGCAGATAATTGTTATTATCACTAAGATAAAATACTCTTCATATTTGTTTTCAAATAATTTTTAATTCACTGATATTGATTGTGGTGTCTTCAAAGGACTTGCAATGATATTTAATAACTTTAATAATTCTAAAGATTAATTCATTATACTTTTTAAAAATTTATATGCCCAGTTAAAATATCAATTTTCAAATAATTTTAGAATAAATTATTCTAATATTAAAGAAAAGAAAATTAACATTATTATTATTTTTATTCAATGGTTGGTTTAACATGTCTGATTTGATGTTTGCAGACTACATATGAAGACATCAAGAAAGCTGTGAAACATGCATCTGAAAATGAGTTGAAAGGTGTGCTTGGTTATACTGAGGATGCTGTTGTCTCAACAGACTTTATTGGTGATCCTAGAAGCAGTATCTTTGATGCTACTGCTGGCATTCAAATCAGTCCCACATTTGTTAAGCTGATCTCTTGGTAAGTAGGCCAGTTTCCCATAATTCTCTGTACATTCATTTTGTATTAAATTTAGAACAAAGTACATTAAATATGATAATGTATTTTCCTTAAATTGAATAGCCATATTAATTCACAGGATGCACATAAATAATGCAGTGAACTTTATTATAATGCAATTATATTTTTCAACATTAACCCTTTGAGCCCAGCCTTCCTGAACAATTGTAAACCTTCTGCCTCCTGAGCTCCTGAGTCAAAATTTGCAAATAATTGGTATGTAATGTTTCAGGGTAGATATAAAAATAGTTACAAGTGTTTACCCACCATTCAACTGGTGGTTGGGCATTACGTCATTTTTCTCTACAACCAGTAAAGTGGGGGTTAGGGTTCAAAGGCTTAAAAGGAAATAATGCAAAAAAAGAATTGTTATGGCATTTTGTTTTTGGTTATTGTATATTCTGTTCTTTGACATGTTTCATGAATTTGATTTCTTAACACCATTTTCAAGTTAACACACCTTCTTTATGAGTAAAAAGAGGCAATGCTAAATTTTAATAGAAGCATTTTGGATTAAGTTGACAAAGAAGCCATAGAAAAGAGTATATTATATTACAATCATTTGGTTGTGTACAGTTTTATTAATGGTGAAACACTGAACAGCTGTAAGAAAGGAGACAACTTGAGAAAGCCAAGAGTCATTTGAGGCTGCAGGCTTTGTGCTAAACAAAACTCTAGGGAAAACAGAACAATATTCAAATGGCTGTTAACCAACAATTTACCAAAGAAAATATCATAAGACATCTGTTGCAGTATTTTGTGTTAAAACCTTAAATTAACCTTCATGCCCGTATAGAAAAAAAGGGGGGGGTCAAAAGGATGGTTATTCCATAGACTGGTATTACTGCATACACTTTTGACTTCCTCAGTAATGTTTATTTTAAAAAGCAATAATTAGAATTTTAATAAAACCCAAACATATGAATATGCAAACTTATACATTTTCTTGAATTGACAACAAAGATATTAAACAGTATATCTTCCTTATCTACAATAATTTTATATTTACAAGATTATAAAAATATGTAAACCAACTATAATGAAATATTTATTATTGACCATTATATAAATAAATAAATATGAACATTTTTATTCATAAATTTATGAAAATGTCTGTAAACAATATTTAAATAAACACAAGTATCTGCAATTATAAACTTTGAAAAAAAAAATTTTTTTCCAGACATTTCTTTTATCTAAATAAATTCAATAAAATCTCGTCTTCTGAAACACAATTTTTTACATTTGTCATGTTTATTTAAATTTTCTTGTTCTATAGTCATTTATAAAATGGTACAGTGTCACCCGGATATAAGAGAGTTGTCAGGAGCGGAGAAGAAGTCTCTTATATCCGGGCTTCTCTTATATCCGGGTTTGGTCTATTTTCTATACATTAACACAGGCTCTAATTTGGGACCAGAGAAAATCTCTCTTATATCCGGGTTTCTCTTACATCCGGGTCTCTTATATCCCGGTTACACTGTAAATAATAAATACTGCATTGTACTTGGTTTATATATTTGATAATAATGTAATTTTTAGAAATTTTTGAATTTCTTTCTTTATAAAATGTTAAATATTTACGAAAAATAAATATAACATTATACTTTGTTCATATATTTTTATAATCTTGTAAACAAATGTTGCCGAAGTAGTCAAATGTTGTCGAGGAAGTCAAGTGTGTATGGTAATAGCAGTGTCAAGGGAATAACCATCCTTTTGAAACACTTTCATTCTTTTGTGGGTAGAAATGTTAAACATTTCAGTTTTTTATTAATCTAATTGATTTTTTTTTTTACTTTTGGAAAATAGTTTTGTTTCTGATTTTTCAGCAAATACAACTTAATTGACATTTCTCCAATAGCTGAATTGAATGTTGCCTTCACTTTGAGGATGAAATGTTCTTTGTTTTGTGATTGAAATTTGCTGACAAAAAATAAGCTTTTTAACCAAATATTGATCTCTCATTTCTATTTAGACATAAGATGATTTTGAAGAACATCTATTGTACACATGTCCCGTTGTTGTTAGAATAATTTGGTTTTTACCTTTTAAAAACTTCCACTTGTTAATTATTTTGTTTTTTTCCAGGTATGACAATGAATTTGGTTACAGCTGCAGAGTCATTGATCTTATTCATCACATGGCTACTGTTGATGCTTAAACCAGATATTTTCTTCTTGGTAGTTCCTTAATAGACCTGTTTTCAACACCTTCAAGGGATCTTCCATTATTTTATGAACCCAGACAATTGCTCAGTCAGTTTAATTACTTTCTATATGTACAAACATTTTTGAACAAAATAAATGATTAAATCCTAAATTGTTTTCTAGTTTTTAATTTTAATAGTGGGAATATAGCAGTAAATAGAAAAGAGATGCTTTCTGCTGCAAGTGTTAGAGAAGTGAATTGAACACTTAAAATCAGGTTCTGGAAGGTAACTCAATAATACAAACATGAAATACAACTTTTTTCTTAGAACTTTTTACTTAGCTTTCAACCTCAAAAAGGAAATACTTGAGTGCAATTATTTTATTTAAAGTATTTTTCAAGTACATACCAATTTCATTTCCAGACAATTATTTTTCAATATTAAATGACAGATTCATTGAATAAACAAATATGAAAATGAAAATTTTGAACGTCAATAAATTCTGATGGTTTGTGTTCATTCAAAAGAAATTTTAAATCAAATGATAAAAGAATCTATAAAAAAAAATCTGCTTGTAGGTAATTAAATTAAAATTCTAGTTGATTTTATTAAATCTTTCGAGAATTGCTCTTGTTTACTTACAAAACTATATACATTAAAGGGGAAAAGGTTTTTCCCCACAAAAAATGTACATTTCACTGTCTTTGATTCAGAATTCCTGCAAGTATGCATTTATTTTTCAAAATCTGATTTGTTGCCTAAGTAAATTCTATAAAAAGAAAACCAGAATCACTGAACAGATTTCAGTTGATTAAAGATTTACAAAAAACTCAAATTTTGATATATTTAATAATGTCTTTAAACATAATTTTGTCTTTCAAGCTGTTTAAAAATAAGTTTCACAAATATTTACAAAAAAAAAAAAAATGAATGAAGCCTTTACAGGGCTCTACATTGCGAGTGAAACAGTCGCATTTGCGAGTGATTTTTCCAAGTGGCGACTAGAAATAATAAAACGCTTATCTTTTGGCAACTGTGTTTTTTTTCACCGAAAATCTTCCAAAGCTCATTACTGAGTGAAAAATGTCTGTTCAACTTTTCTTTTTTTTTTAAAAAAAAAACGAGCAAAGTCAAATTATTTAAACAATAAAAGGTTTACAAGGGTCGGTAACTTGCGGGCCGGATCCACCCCGCGAGGCTGATTACCAATGTCTCTATTTTTAACATGAGAGAAGAGGCTTTCGAATTTGACAAAAGGCCTGCTTCTATCTTCCTCTGATCCACCCAACCGAATTTGAATACTATGACTACAAAAACTGAGAGCCGATTTGACCGACCGACCGGCGACAGCTTCAAAGGGACAATGTTGTCTCAGTCGGCTTTCTATTTCATTCCTCCAACAGCGACCCCCCCCCATCGCTTACCCCTGCCATCTACCGTATGTAAGTTGCTGGAATCTTTCAATGGGCCATGTTCTTATCTTATCATACCCCTCTTCTTCTCAAACAAGAGTCTTTCACTGATTTTTTTGTATGCGGCCTGGCTCGACACGGGCCATATGTCACACTTTTTAAATTTAATTACTCTGCAAATAAACTGAATAAAATTAAAAATGTTTTAAATACCAAAATAAAATTCAAATGAATCTAATCAGTGCTCTTCGTATTTACTTATTCAAAAAGAAATAAATTCAGGATTTTGTTTCGTTTTAGTAATTTGTTTGAAAATTGAAAGTAAACCCAGAAAATATAAAATATTTGTTATGACCCTTGGCTACATTAAAAGATAACAGAAGCGAAAGGAAAGAGGCCAGGGAGGGACTGACATGCGAGGCAGCAGAAATCTAAAGACAGTTAAACATATGTGCATTATACATACATGCCTCATGAATGTGTGGATGATACCGCATATGTACATACGTAAGTGTATATGTTTGCAACTATTTGTACTCGTATGTATGAGTATATGTTCTTCATTTTTGTTTGATGTGTGTGTGTGTGTGTGGTTCGTTTGTGGAACAATTTTCAATAAGTTTCAAACCTACACATCATAATTTCATCCATTTCACTTCGGTTGATATTTTTTTCACTTTGAAGTATTTTGACGTTCCTTGAGAAAAAGTAATTTTTATTAGGTGTTTTTTAATTTTAGATTTTCTTTTGTTTTTCTGATTTCTCAATGTTTATTTTCATTATAGTTTTAAATATTTAGGTTGACAGGGGTCTGTATATGTAATTTTCCTTAATTTTTCATTAATGGCCTTTGTCCGGCCTGTGGGGTCGAATGAGTTACCGACCCCTGGTTTAATAGAACAATATACAAGATATTAATTGGCATTTTGACGACGACAGCACACATTTTATTCGCAGTTTCATGTTTCATTAGTCTTTCTGAGCATGCGCAAAGATTTAAAGAAACATGGCAATGAAGAAAACAATACTAAAGCAAAGCTGATATCGTCTTTCTTCGCAATATCGAACAAAGTAGAAATGCTGAATGAAACTGAGACTCAAAAGAATGCCCCGAATGATAAACAAAGTAATGATGACACACAAAATGAAAGTAAGCCGTCCATTGTACGAGAATTCCGACAAGTTTGGTTGTCAACTTTCGCCTGGCTTCATTACGATGGAGAAAAAAACGCGATGTATTGTGATTTTTGTCGTAGGGCTGGTTCAACTTTGGCTGGAAAAACTGATTTTGTAGATGGTAGTACTAAATTTAAACATGAAAACGTCCTTGCCCATAGTAAAAGTCTTAGACACGACTTTATCATTAATAAAACAAGCAAACAGTCAATTGAAAAGTCTCACATTGCCAATAAATTTCTCGATGCAGAAATCAAATCAAACGAAAAGGATTTGACGGATTTGAAAGTTAAATTTAACACAGTTTATTGTATAGGGAAGGAAGAAATGGCCTTTACAAAACTCAAGCCCCTACTCTTACTTCAATACAAAAATGGGCTACCTGTGACACCTGCATACAGTACGATGTTAGGTGTGGTGAAATGTCTGCTATTGCAAGCGCGATCAGAGATGAGACATTGGAATCTATCAGTGACTCTCATTATATGTCAGTTATGATTGATGGTGCCACTGACAGCTCTGTGTCAGAAAATGAAGCAGTTTATGTGAGAACAGTCTTGAATGGCAAAGCAGAAAATAAACTTGTTGAAGTTATTGCCATTGAACATGGCCATACTAAAGGCATTATCTCTGCTACTAAATCTGCTCTTTCAAAAGTGGGGATCAGTGATGATGAAATGTCATCGAGAATTGTTGGGTTTTATGCAGATGGGGCAAATGTGAATACAGGACAGATGAATGGTGTTGTGTCACTGTTAAGACAGGAAGTTCCCCATCTCATAGACTTTTACTGTATGGCACATAGGCTTGAATTAGCCCTATTGAAACTACAAAAACAGACTTCTATTATGCAGTCTGTCAATGACTGTCTACATTTGATAGGGAAGACTTACCACTTCAGTCCAAAGAGCAAGAGAGAACTCAAGATCATTGGAGAAGAACTTGAAGCAAGAATCTACTCACTAGCGCCAGTGAAGGGTACCAGATGGATTCCCCATGTAGACAGGGCAATGAGTCTTTCTCCAAGGAAAGAAAGATGGTCATTTGGCTGAGAATCATGGTCAATATGCAGCAGTCTACACTCATATGGAAAATCTTGCAGCAACATCATCAAATGCAGACATTGCTGGTAGAGCTAAGAAAATAAACAAGCAATTGAAGGATCTTGTATTCACTACATTTTGCCATTTCGTATCCGATCTATTTGGCGAGCTAGCTTTGCTCAGTCTAAAACTACAGACAAACAATCTGATTCTTCCTGTAGCAGTTGCATCAATTAAGGATTGTATAGAAACTGTTTCAAGTATGAAGGAGGAATACATTCCTGGGGGAATGTATGAAAAGTTTATCCTGTGTATTGAAGAACAACAGTCTGAAAATTTGCAGGGTAATCCCAAATTTCAAGGAGTTGAAATGACTGGGAGTCCTGATTATGAGGCCAAAGAAAAACTAAAGAAGCATGTTGAGTCTACAGTTGACATTACAATCAAAGAACTAGAGTCAAGGTTTCAAAATCTGTTGGAAACAAATACAAGTGTAAATGCTCAAGGTGTGGTGAAAAGTTTCATTAAGGTGTTCAATCATGACACATGGCCAGAATGCAGAAGGGAACTTGTCCATTTTGGAAATCATGAAATAGACATTATTTGTGACTGGTTTGGAAAACCTCTTGTGGCTGCAGGATGCAATATGGAAGTTGTTCAGACGGAATAGAGACACATGAAATTCTTTGTTGCAAATACTTTCAGAGACAAGTCTTATTCTGATCTGTGGCAAATCCTACTGACCAAGGACCCATACAAGACTGACTTCTGCAATATACTTTATCTTGTGAGAATAATGCTCACTCTTCCAATCAGCTCTGCAGAGTGTGAGAGAGCCCTTTCTGCACAGAAGAGAATAAAGAGCGACATACGGAGCAGCTTGTCTGTATAGAGACTGTCAGACTTAATCTTGCTTTCTTCTGAAGGTCCAGATCTGGCTGAATTCAACCCAGAGAAATCCATTGACAAGTGAATGGCAAACAGCAGGAGAAGGATTGCTGGGGGGCCAGGACAGTGTGACTGGCCAGCTAACATTGTGTCTGTTGATCGAAAGTGTAAGGACAAAGCAGTACTGTTTGAAAACAAAAAGATTTAGTCACAAGTTATTGATTTGACAATTCAAATTGAGCAAGTGTTAAAGTGCAACTGGAAATTGGAATAAAAAGGTAAATGCAATTCAATATTGGGCAAATGGAGTTATAAATTTTAAAAGATAAAATTTCAGTTTGAAACAGATAGAAATAAGTTCAATGTCAGTAACACAAAGACACAGTATGTGTTTGCCAGACCATCTGGACATTTTCCTTTCCAGTCCCACTTTAAGATCTTAGATCAGCATTACTATAGTTAATATAGTTAATATTTCTGAGTGACATTTACC